GAACCATACTTTGAGAACCACGGATCTGGCCAAACCCCTTTTGTTTTACAGTTTGAGATAACTGAGACCCTCAAAGACAAAGTAGGTTGTCCTAAAACCAAATGATCTCACCTACAGAAAGGGCTGTTTTACTACACTGCCCAGCTGACTTGGTTTCTCCATAACTTGCAGGTCATCGCTTGCTAACATTGTTCGATGACATCTGTGCGCCTCTTGCCTGTCCCAGCATTTGGTCCTGTAAAACCTTAGCCCTCTCATCCCCACCCCACGCCCCATCCTTCCTATATTCTGTCTCCAGTGGCCCATCATCTCCTGAGAAATGAGAGAAAAGGTGGTGGCCACAGAGAGACCAATAAGAGAAAGGAGACAGAGCAAAGGATGAACACGAGACTCAAGGAGAAAATGGAATATGAAGGAGAAGAAAAAAAAAGATGGGTAGATGTGTAGAGGCAGGAAGTCGATTAGTGGTGGCCTAGGGTTGGGGGTGTAGGAGAGATGGGGAGTGTGGTGGGCAGCAAAGACATCCATGTCCTAATCTGTGAAATAAAGAGCTTAACTTGTATTATCCAGGCAGGTGCAGTGTAATCACATGGGTCCTTATATAGGGAAGAAGGCCACAGATTCGGAATCAGGGAGGTGTGTTGTGAGAAGGGCTTGTTAACGTAAAGAAACAATCAAACCTGTAAAGAACTTTTACGAGTTTCTTTGAGCCAAACTGTCAATTATTACCGGGAAGCAGAATCCCAACATACTGGGACTAATGCTCCAGAGGATGGCGGGTTTTTTACTTTGTTTTAAACATTACGGTCAAAAGAGAAGATGTGAGTGAGTTACATGGACTCCATTGGCACTTGCTAATATTGTTCGATGACATCTGTGCGCCTCTTGCCTGTCTCAACATTTGGTCCTGTAAAACCTTAGCCCTCTCATCCCCACCCCAATCCCTGTCTTTCCTATTTTCTGTCTCCAGTGGCCCATCATCTCCTGAGAAATGAGAGAAAAGGTGGTGGCCACAGAGAGACCAATAAGAGAAAGGAGACAGAGCAAAGGATGAACACGAGACTCAAGGAGAAAATGGAATATGAAGGAGAAGAAAAAAAAAGATGGGTAGATGTGTAGAGGCAGAAAGTCAATTAGTGGTGGCCTAGGGTTGGGGGTGTAGGAGAGATGGGGAGTGTGGTGGGCAGCAGAATGCCCACCCAACCCACCAAAGACATCCATGTCCTAATCTGTGAAATAAAGAGCTGAACTTGTATTATCCAGGCAGGTGCAGTGTAATCACATGGGTCCTTATATAGGGAAGAAGGCAACAGAGTCAGAATCAGGGAGGTGTGTTGTGAGAAGGGCTTGTTAACGTAAAGAAACAATCAAACCTGTAAAGAACTTTTATGAGTTTCTTTGAGCCAAACTGTCAATTATTGCCGGGAAGCAGTATCTCAACATACTGGGACTAATGCTCCGGAGGATGGCGGGTTTTTTACTTTGTTTTAAACATTACGGTCAAAAGAGAAGACGTGAGTGAGTGACATGGACTCCTTTGGTGATGGATGAGGGAGGCGGGAGAAAGCAAAGCGGGGACACCTCTGGGGTTGGATAAAAAGTGAAATGATAGACACACACTTCTTTTACTTAGGAGGGTGCAGGATAATTCACAGTCAACCATGAACTCAGTAACAATGAGGAGACTGTGGTCTCTGCAGAGCGGTGCCTGTGCTTTGAGGGGTCCAGAAAAAGGAAAATTACTTTGACTTTCCAACAATAGGTTATCGTAGATGCAAAAAGACCACAGACAGGCTCAGTTAAGGTAAAGACTGACCTTTGTCGGGAAGATACCGGCTTAG